GAACTGCTAACAAGAAAGGACCCATGGGTACCCAATGATCAGATGACATATGTTGCAGATATTCTTGATAGCGCAACAAAACACCAATTATGGAACCTGGACAATGGATGCTTGCAACATACGATGGGCGAAAGGAATATGTTCCAAGATTTGGAATGTAAGTCTGGAGGCATGGATAGTGTTTGAAGTAACCAGAAAAGAAAGATTATTGGCTCTGAAACTCTTGTAATCAAGATTATATTGTCAGAACAAGACCAAACTTTAAATATTTTGGATAAATTCTTGTGAGCTTTGATGATCTCACTTGTGCCAGCTCATCTTCTGAATAAAATCTGGATTCTGAAAAATTGTTTAAAGAATCAACTGATAGACTATCATACTTATATGATTTTGAAGTTTTTGGAAGGAAAATGTACATATAAGATGGAGAAGAAGTTTAAAATTACAAAGAGTAAATTGAAGTTTGAAAAGAAGTCACTCAATCAAATACTGTTTAAAAGTTACTCTGATGAGAAGATAAAATACAAGAGCAAGGATCTTCATCCAAATCTCAGAGTTTGGCATAAGATCACTTTGGGTTGTATAAACCCTAGACCTGCTTCAAACTCTTCTGGAAAGAGGGTTAGTAAAATTTCTTGTGGAAGAAGCAAAGTACACAGAAGATTTGTCTCCCAACACTGAAGAATCATTTGCTGCACAGAACTTGAGGAACATGCAAATAACTAATAAGATTAAAGTTAGACATCTGGTGAACCATTTGAAGACATTACACAAAGAAGGATTCCAATTATTGACTATCCTCTTTTCTCCAAGATGGATAATGTATCAAGTGTTGTTATATATGTTCGGATGATGGAAGAAGAAGGACACGATATGTCCAATTTTGATTACACTAAACTTTCTAATGAAGAAGTTGATTGTGGTGTAAGAAAAGGAAAGAAAAGATCAAATGTTCGCCGAACCAAAGGAGAAGATTCAAGAAGATAAAGAATCATAAGCTCCTTATTCTGATAATGTTGATAGTTCTTCTAATCAACCTCAACCAAGTAAGAACAAATACACATCCTCTCATCCTGAAGACCTTATCCTTGGAAGTAAAGATGCTCAAGTCAAAACAAGATAAGCTCTCAAACCTTCTTATGAAGTGCTTTTGGGTTTAGTTTATTTAATAGAACCTTCATTTGTTGAAAAATCCCTTCTAGATAAAGATTGGATTCTGGCTATGAAAGAAGAACTGAACCAATTCTCAAAGAACGATGTATGGGATCTTGTTCAGAAACCTAAAGTTGTATCGTGGTATGATAGGCTCTCTTCTATATCTGGCTGCACTGGGACCTGATATTTTAAATCTATCTTCATCTTTGCGCTAGATTCCAATCTGATCCTAGGGAATCTCATTTAACTATTGTTAAGAGAATTCTAAGGTATCTAAAAGGAACCTCTAATCTTGGCTTGACGTATGAGTAAACGTCAGAGTATTCTCTTTATGGTTTCTGTGATACAGACTACGCTGGAGATCGGCTAGAGAGGAAGAGAACTTTTGGAAACTGTCAGTTTCTAGGTAAGAATCGGATCTCATGTTCAAGCAAGGTACAATCAACAATTGCTCTTTCAATAGCAGAAGCATAGTACATTTCAGCAGCAGTATGCAGTATTCATATGTTATGGATAAAGAATCAGCTAGAAGATTATCAGATTTATGAGAGTAACATTCCTATCTTCCGTGACAATACCGCTTTTATTTGCTTGAGTAAGAATTCTATCATTTTACTAGTTACCTTTTTGATGATGTCAAAAAGGGGGAGAAATATAATGATTATTGATGAACCTTAAAAGAAATGCATCATAATAATTAAATGATATAAAATGTGCATTTACCACGTATGTGTGTTTATTTGTTTGATAATTAATCAAGGAAAGAATGCCACCCAGAAGAACTGAGCAAATCAAAAGTTGAAAATTGTCTAAAATATCAAGATCTCAATTATTGTCATCCAGAGTCAAGACTCTAAAGATCTCGATATCTGATCTATTTGAACCAGGGGGAGTTCTACTCAAATGGTTCAGAGTCAGGACATTCGATCTTCATCAAATCATTAACTCAAGGGAAGTATCATAAAAAGGATAAATATTCCTTACCTTTATATTTTCACTTTTTCGATTATAAGAACAAAACTGTGCCATCAAAATACATAGTTTTGTCATCATCAAAAAGGGGGAGATTGTAATATCAAGATTTGGTTATGCAATAATATCTCAGAGTTTTGATGATAACAAATGAGTATGTTTGTATGAACAATTTTGATACTCTAAGGTTTGTTATTGTTGAGTACTTAACAAACAGGTTCTACTTCTGATCGATGGCGTGGCCAAGACATTAGAAGTGAATTAATTCCGCTTCTGTGCTACAAAAGTTCTGTTGAACAATAGAAAGACACTCTAGAAGGCTCTGAAGTGTAAGCTCTTATGTTTGTCTAAAGAAATCAGTCAGAAGATCTGAAGACAAAAGTTGTTACTTAAGTTCAGATGCTGAAGACTCATGTTTCTGAAGACAACAGGTTCTAAAGAAATAATCAGAAGATCTGAAGACAGAAGTTTTGACTTAAGTTCAGATGCTAAAGACTCAAGTTTCTAAACACAGTGTGTTCCAAAGAAAAAAAGTTAAAAGATCTGAAGACAACGTTTCTACTGAAGTCTAGTAGCAAAACACTTAGTTTCTAAAAAGACAACCTATTTTAAGAAAACAAAGTTAAAATATCTGAAGACAATGTTTCTACTAAAGTTCAGATGATGAAGACTTGTGTTTCTAATAATAAGGTTGTTAAAAGGATTCTTAAAAAAACATGTGCTAAAGATTCTAAGGACGAAAGTTCCGAAGATTCCAAAGACTTGAAGTTCTAAATATCCAAGGTTTTATACAATGTTTTCTCAAGACCAAGTGCTGAAGACTCTAAAGATGCAGTTCTTAAGACTCTAAAGACTTGAAGCTCTTCTGATCCAAGGTTCTCTACAACGGTTTCTCACGACCAAGTGCTGAAGACTCTGAAGACGAAATTATGAAGACTCTGAAGACTTGAAGTTCTGAAGACCTTATGTTATGTTCCCTATTCTAAACTCATGCTTGCAGAAGCCCCTGAAGTGCATAAGGAAAGAATATAACGTTAAGATGGTACAATAGTACACACTACGAAAAAACCTTATCACACTGCCTCTCCACTAGCTTGAATTGTGGAAGAGAAAAGGATGTAGTAGTACTATTTGTAACAACTCTTTCAAATAGCCAACGGCTCTATTTTGTTTGGCTATATAAGAAAAGAGTCATACGTTTAAAATGTTGTTGGTGTTCATTGTTAAAATAAAAGATGTCATTATTGGAACAGAACCAAAAAGCTATCAACCACTATAACAACAACAAGAACAAATGTTATCAAAATGATTCTTCAATCATGTTGATAATGACTACAATGAAATCATTGATTCACAATGTTCTTAATTTCATATGATGTACAAAGCATTCTAAGCCGCCGAAGATAATGAAGGTAATCATGAAAGCTTCGGTTACAAATCCATAACACAAATGTAATGCTCTAAAGTGATCATAGAAGAAAATAGAACAAGGGTTGTTGTCCAGAATATTCTAAGGTGAATAGAGATGAAGAAGTTATTCTCTTTAGTACATCAAGATCAACAAAGCTTCCAGAAGCTTATGAAGAAGAAGACTTCAGCAATTCAAGTACTTTGGGCTGTTGTCAGAGAAGAAGCTATTTGAATAAAAGAATACCACACATCAAGCTACAATACAATGTAATATTTTTAATGTGTATTATGATCTTCTGATGTATGCCTAAATTCTATTTACATCCAGCTTGTGTAGAAGCATATTATTGTAAACAAATGTAAATCAAACAGTTGTTTAATGATACCTTGAGAGACTGGGCGAAGGTATGATCTCAAGAAGACAATGTATGCTAGTCATTGTAGGAAATCCTGGTAGGAGATTATGCGGGATCGAATTCTATTGGGTCAATGATTGTTATATCTAGTTGGATCACTGGAATATCATTGCAAGGTTCCTTTAGAGACTAAGTGAAGGTTTATTCTCAAGAAGTTAGTGGCTGAAGGTCATTATGAAATCCTGGTAGTGGTTTCTATTAAATCAATGGTAGTAATATCTCAAAGAGGACTAAGTGAAGGTTAGTATTGTGAGATCACTGATGCATATCATTGTAAGGAAATCCTGGTAGGAGATTTTGAGGGATCATATTCTATTGGGTCAATGAATTTTATATCCAGTTTGGATCCCTAAATGTGTCATTGGATGTTAGTCACTAGCAGTTTCCCGTGCAATTGTAATTAGATTGGTTATAGTGGATTAAGTCCTTTAGTTCAAGGAGAAATCATCTTGGAAGGGTGGAATGGACTAACTTGAGGGTTTCTCAAGTGAACCAGAATATATCACGTGTTTTTTACTTTTTCTTATTCCTAATAGTTTATGTTTTCATAACTTAATTAGAAGCATTGCTTAGAAGCAATATCCAGAAGCATTGTTTAACAAACAATGATTATAAGTGGAAGTTTTCAAGAAAGGAAAACCCAATTCAACTTCCCCTTTCTTGTTTTTTCTTCACACCTTCATTATTCATTTGCTTGGCAAACATACACAAATCTCTCTCAAAACCATAATCAAGAAAGATAACCGTCTTATTAAAATAGTTGATATAAACATGATTGTATTCCAACCAGTTCATTCCAAGAATAACATCAAGTTGATCTAATGAAAGACACACTAAATCAACTCCAAAGTCTTTACCAAAAATACTCAATGGACAATTCAAACACACATATGAAGTAGTCACTGGACCCATAGCAGGAGTGTCAGTAACCATACTTTCATTCATAACAGATAACTCAAGATTCAATCTCTTAACACAATCCAAAGAAATGAAAGAATGTGTCACACTAGTATCAATAATAGGAATCAAAGGTGTACCATTAATAAATCACGTACCTCTGATTAGTCTATCCTCAACAGCAGTCTTAGAACCAGATAAAGCAAACATTTTCCTTTTAGCTTGTTCCTTCTTCGGCTTGTCACACCTGGTACTAATGTGCACTTGCTCACCACAGTTGTAAAGATTCACATTCCTACCTCCTCTATAGTAATTAGCTTTATGACCTAGCTTTCCACACTTGAAACATTTCACTTCAGCACCTGAACATTCAGAAACACGATGTCCTTTAACACCACACTTGTAGCACCTAATCAGAGTATGAGCTCCTCCCCCACTCAACTTCCTGTCATAACCAGATTTCTGCTTCCCCTTATCAGCATATGGCTTTCCTCTGAATTGACCTTTTCCCCTCTTATCACTCAAAGACTTGTAGTGAGAAGTACTCTCCCTACTATTTTCATCATAGATCCTACTCTTGTTAACTAGCTCAGGAAATCTCATAATCTGTTTGTAACCCATGGCCTTCTTAATATCAGGTCTCAAGCCATTCACAAACTTAAGACACTTAGATCTCTCAGCATTAGCAGTGTTGTAATGAGGACAAAACTTAATTAACTCCTTAAACCTTGCAGAATACTCATCCATAGTTCCATTACCCTACTTCAGCTCAAGAAACTCAACCTTTTTCTTCCCACACACATCCTCTAGAAAATACTTCTCCAGAAATGCATCTCTGAAAAGTGACCAAGTAACCTATATCTCATCTTCATCAAACCTCTGAACAACGTTATTCTACCAATCCTCAGCTTCCTTCTCAAGCATATGGGTACCAAACCGCACCCTTTGAGCATCCGAATAATTCATGACCTAAAAGATATTCTCAATCAGTTTCATCCATACTTATACTTTGTCAGGTTCATGAGCTCCTTCAAAGATTGGCGGATTATTCCTTTGGAACTTTCTCAAAGCACAAAATTAATCTTCCTCCTTGTTGCCACTATTGACGTGCGGTTGTTGCCTGATCGCACCATCCAACATTACCAATTCCTCGGTAATAGCATCGTCATTCCTTCCTGCAACCATCATCCTAAAATTCCAAACAACCAAAAAACTAAAAATCCACATCAGACAAACAGTACCGATTGTATCATATACACATATCAAATACAAAAGGAAACAAATATATTAATAACCTGGTCAACTGGACGACCATGCTCTGATACCACTAATGTAACACCCTCTTAACCCTATGACAATAATATAGCATAATCAGAGTAAAATTATCATGCATATCAAAAGAGGGCATCATATGTATTACAAAACAACACAAGTACACCAATCATGCTCATAACATACATTTAAAATCATGTTCCATACACATTGCATATCACAACAGAATAATTCTTTTTCATAGTAATACTAACGATTGAAATCCCATACTAACAATCATATCATAAAAACGTTAGGCACTAAAGGCAACTCATCACGTAATCTCAGTACATCATAAATAAAGATAGTATAACAAACATCTCTAAAAACAAACATGATTTCAAATGTTCCCCCGTGTTAAATAGACCAGGGCATGACTCGCTACCTAAATAAGAGAATAAACAAGGAACTAGCTCCTCTGAATAATCTTCGCGAGAAGCACCACTATCTTCGGCACCTGAATCATGTCGTATAAAACATTATTTCAATATAAGGGTGAAAATTCATATAATAATGGAAAAAATATAATAATAGTAATGCATCACATACAAGCATCAACTGAATTCATCACACTTCATACATTTAAGTATTTAACAATTTCAATATAATTCACATGTTTACATATACACCATAACTCAACCATTCAAGATCTAAAGATAAACAATCACAACTACCACCAATGTACCATTCACACCAATATCACAAAAAGCACATCAAATATACATTTCACATCGACACATGTGACTTCAATGCAACTCTATGCAATATGTGTGCGGTACTAATTATTATCCTTATTGGTATCACTGGGTCCATCTCCAAGACCGATAACCACCAAAAATAAGTATGTCCCCTAAGCTTCAAATCCATCTCCAAGGTTTGGGACAAGTCACTAACTCTTGCAAATGCTAGCAAACATTGTCTCTTGACAACTCATGATACATGTGCAATCTCAACATATATATGCAAATAAATCCATCTCCAAATCTTAATCATACAAGCATATTTCACAAAATTCAACACATTTGAATTATCTCACTAAATTGCACAACATACATACATCATGTCAATATTCACATACAATACATACTCATAGCATTCATCAATTCAACACACCAAAATAACACATAGTAAACATTTCCCAAACATGTTATTCTCATTCACCATCAACTCACAACATACATATATACAAAAATCAAGTATTATGTTTCTCGTCAAAAGTCATCCAAAACCAATCCAAAACACATTGAATAAATTATTAAAATACATGGAAATCCTTTATAAATAATAGGCATAAATAACCCACAATCAATCAAACAGAATATAAAAGTTTTTATCTTAGACTGTGCTAAGCGCGACCCACGGTGCTAAGTTCCCTCTGCGAAATGCAGAAAAATTCTTCTACGGACAACTTCTGCCTCCTACGAATTTATACATCCAAATCTCATCCAAACAGTCATTTTCATAAATTAAATACATATATCTAACATGTATCATCAATTAGAAACATTAAAACATGATTTATAACACAAAATTTATGAATTTCAATCCAACCCTAACATGTCAAAACTAGCAATTGAAGAACAAATCCCTTATTTCATGTTATCACTCATCACATACCATTACATACACCCATAAATTGAAGAACAAATCCCTAATTTCATGTTATCACCCACCCTTACCTTAGGTTTAGAATCTTTCTAGGTTCCTCCTTCTTCTCCTCTCTTTTCTTCTCTTTTTCTCTTTTCTTCTCTTCTCTTATTTCTTCTTACTAACTCTCTTTGTTTTACAAAATATTACTAACTCTTATTTCTCTAATTGGGCTTATCTCACCCACTCACTCTAATGTAATACATAAGGCCCATTAAATTAATAATTCTATTCTCACACTTACTAACCCAAAACTCATATAACACATATATGCAATTAATTCAAATAATTCATATATCCACAAAATCACACAATTTAATTAATTACTATATCACATAATAATTAATAAAATAAAAAACAAAATAAAATAACTAGTAAATAAAATTGGAGTGTTACAATCTTCCTCTTCATCTTCTAGCTTACCAAAAGTAGATTAAAACTTTTCAGCCGCATCTAGCATCAAATATGTCGAGTTCCATCTAGTTGAAACATCAAGACATACTAACGTCTTACATGTAATCCCGACATATTCCACATATTCCTTGAACATTAAAGCTCTATGGAGTGAAGATCTTATAAACATAATTGCATTTCTAACACTTGAAATTGAGGCGCTAACTACTTTTAATCCATCTCTCACTACCCAATTCAGAATATGATCACAACACCATCTAATAAAAGTCCATTCATGCTTCTTATTTTCTGCTCTAAATATTTAACAACAACGCCATTTGATTCCGCGTTATCTATCGTGATGGTTAAAACATTTCTCAGTCCCCACTCCTTCAACACATCTTCAACCTTCTTACAAACTGTTTTACCTCGGTAATTTGGGATTACTGTAAAGCTAATTATCCTTTTTTGGTATTGCCAATCCCTATCTATAAAATGGGCAGTGGGGGTCCAGTAGTTGAGATTTTGGATGGACGTCCAAAAATCTATTGTAATTGCCAACCTACTACAATTAGACTTAAAGAATGCTCTCAATCTCACTTTCTCATCAAGATATAACTAAAAACAATCCCTAGCTATAGTTCTCTTTGATGGTATAGTAAATTGAGGTTGTATTTGGTTACAAAAGTACTTGAATCCATCTCTTTCAACTGTAATAAACAGTTTCTTATCTAAAATGATAAAATAAGCCAACCCATTTCTACAACCTAAAGGATCAAACTTAGAACTTTTTTGAACCAACCCAACTCACTGAGTTGTTAAAAATGTCAATATGGTTTGGATAAGGTCAGTTGACAGGTTCAACGGATACTTAGGACATGTTTTCATGTGACACTTTAAGTTTGATGTTCCAATTTTCTTAGAGTCTTACATGTACTTTTGATGATAGTACTTACATGCCGAAGTGGCGGGATCAATATTAGAAATAGGGTTAAAGCGGTCCCATACCTCATACCTTTTTCTAATAGCATTTACATTAGCTCTTTTTTTATTCCGACCAATAGGAGGAAGGTTTGTGGTTGGTTTAGTAGGTGATGTTGTTGTTGGAGTGTCTTGCTCCATACCTGAAACAAAGAGTATTATTACTGAAAGATTAATAATGAGAAACCAAACATAATACATAACAATGAGAAACCACAAAAACATAAACTACAAGTTCAGGGATACATGTTTTATTTCAAGTTCATCTACTTATACATGTTACAAAAACAGAATCTGTAAGTTCAGAAATACATGTTACATAACTCAATACCACAATAACAATAACAAAAGTTGCAAGTTCAAAATATATGTTATATTTCAAGTTACCGCAACATTCCGACAATTAAACATTCACAATAAGCATTGAGAATACATAACTAAATAAACATTTGCAATAAACTACAAGTTCAAAATATATATAACTCAATAAACATTCACAATAAACATAATACATGTTATATTTCAAGTTACCGCAACATCCCGACAACTAAACATTCACAATAAGCATTCATAATACATAACTCAATAAACATTCACAATAAACTACAAGTTCATTATACATAACTCAATAAAAGTTCACAATAAGCTGCAATTTCAGACTACATGTTATATTTCATGTTACCATAACATTCTGACAATTAAACATTCACAATAAACTGCAAGTTTGGACTACATGTTATATTTCAAGTTACAACAACATTCTGACAACTAAAAATTCACAATAAGCTGCAAGTTCAGAATACATAACTAATTAAACATTCACAATAAATTGCAAGTTCATACTACATGTTATATTTCAAGTTACCGCAACATTCTGACAACTAAACATTCAGAATAAGCTGCAAGTTCATAATACATAACTCATTAAACATTCACAATAAACTGCAAGTTCATAATACATGTTATATTTCAAGATATAGAAACCATACATATATAACTAAGAATTCACAATAAGCATTCATAAAACATAACTCAATACATAACTCCCTAACTGATAAAACAAGTTCAGAAATAGAATATGTGTTATCGTTATTTTGCAAACTTCCACCTCCTTGCATTTTCCAAGTCTTTACATATCTTTAAAATAAAATCCTTTCAGAAATTCCCAGCTCCTTGCATTTCTATAAATCCTTCAAGAAATTTACACAACAAAAATACATAAATTAAAACAAAATTAGGATATTATGGTGGTGAGAGATGAGGATGAGAGGGAGCAAAAAGTGAGTGGAAGAGAGAGCGAGGCTTACCATCTATCTTGAAGCTGGATGATGATGATGATGATAGACGGCGATGGTTATGATGATGGTGGTGGTATCTTGAAGCTTGGAACAATGAGATAATGATGGTGGTGGAAGCTTGGAACGATAACCCTAGAAGAATAAGCTTGGAGGCAGAGCGGCGAGGAAGTGTTGATCGATAACCCAAATCCTAATCCAATTCTGAATGTAACACAAAACTTGGGCCAAATTGATTTTAATTAAGCCCACCCATAATCCATTCTGAAGTTATAAATTATATTATAATAATAAAAAATATATAAATAACATACTCAGTCGGGTCTGGATTCTGACAAGTCTCATTTTCACCACTGAATCAGACCTCCTTCACACAATAATACCCAATCAATTTCCTTAATCATACTTGTGGCCCGAAGTTAATCGATCTGTTGCCAAAACACAATTGGGTTCGGTCGGATTGCTTCAGATGGTCTCCCAAGCAATCCACCAATGGATAACTAAAGTTAAAATTATCTAATAATTAATAACTAAATACATAACTAAGTGGGGAAAGTTCCCCCAATGGATAACACTTGAATTCGTCCCTCACATTAGACACTATTAGAATATTTGATGCTACTCTTTACCTTTCTAAAGTTTTTTTTCTTTTCTTCTTTTAAACTAAGGGATATATTTCAAACACTTAGTTGGATGGTAGATAGAGAAATAAATGAGGTATAATTAAGTTATTTAGAAAATGTATATGAGTAGCTTTCACAAATGGGCATGTTTATCTGTTTAGATTCGTCTTGTAAAAGTATGTAACAAAACGAGAAAGATCAGACATTATTAAGGGTACAGACATAAAATTTTGGTCCATTATGTAAAAAAAAAAATGAAGGCAAGGCGGGTGATAGGTCCATGATTATTATACTTTTTAACCTAAAAATTATAAAAAAATTATGTTAATATTTGCATTCACAAAAGTCAGAAAAAAACAAGACGGGTTGGACAGACTAGATGGTACGAATCTAAAATCTTGTCTCGCCTCATGTGTAGACAAAGCGAGCATGCTCGGCGGGCCGTGCTCATTTTTTCATCCTTAGATATGAGAATAGGATATTGATTTAAAATTCAAACGGATTCAAATAAAAATTGGAAAACAGTATAAAAAATAAAAATCACAAAAAAATAGATTACTTTTGATTGTGTTTGATTTTTCTTGTATGGAAGCAGCTCATATTAGATCAAATTTCGAATTGATTTGTCAAAATCGATCCAAAACTAACCAAACCGTGTTCATATATTTTAATAATTATTTATTTTTTATTAGCATGATATATTACATAAATTTATTATTTGTTGATATTTAATTTATTTTAGTACTATTTAGTAGATTAGCTTATTTGTTTATTTTTAATATTTCATTTGTTTTAAACATAATCAATTGTTTTCAGTTTGTAATTTTATTTTTTAATATATTATATGATGTATATTACTTTAAACCTATTATTTTTTAGTATTTTTATGATATTAATATTTAAAAAATAATAATTTGTAATTTAGATATTTTAAAACAAGTCTAAATTAAATCATATGAAATTGGATAAATTCTTTGGGTATCCAATTGTCAAATAGTTAAAGAAATATGAGATACATTACAAGTCACATACAAAGGAACAAATGAAGTAAAATGATTCAAACTAAAGACTTTATTCCTCTCTCTCTCTCTATCTCAAGAATATGAGATGTTTAGAATGTAATAGGGAGAAAAGATATTTGATTTGATCATTCTCCAATAAATAATTAAACCAAAAAGTACTTGGAACCTTATCAAGAGCATGGCAACTAAAAGTAATAACTAGTGTTTCTGACAATAAGAGTTTATCAAAAATGATTTTGGCGATATTGTTTGGAAAACAACAAGAGCATGAATCGGAACTCTATAGACAAGAACAACATGAAGAACATGATAAGAAACATAAGAACATATCCCTAAATGCAGAATCAAAATTAAGTAAATAAAATGATGATTCAAATAAAGATGAAAACATAACACTACTTGTCAAGAAGTTCGATAAATTTTTGAAGAAAGATAAAACGGCTACATTTGGTCAAAAAAGAAATGGTTAAATATGAAGGAAAGAGCTATTTCAAAACATAATTTTACTTTCTTTGAATGTGGAAACAAATACATCAAGGTCGATTGCTCATCTTTCTAAAATAATAATGGATTCAAAGAAAAGAAGGAAATGAGACCAAAGAAAACCTACACATAGCATAGAAAGATAATGAAGTTGGTTCATACTCAGATTTGGATACCTAAGAACAAGCAAATATCACCTTGATGGCCTCACAACACTTAGACAACGATGATAAAGAGGTAAGTGAATTTAATACTAATATTAAACCTTTTTATGATGAATTACAAATTGATTTTATCGAATTACATGCTGAATGTTTAATACTCTCTATAACATGTACTAAACAAAAATTAATAATTTTGTGTCTATAAAGTAATTCTTTTGAAAAAGTTAAAGATTCAACATGTACTAAATGTAATTCTCTTGAATGAAAAATTAGTGACTTGAATCAAGTAATAAAGAAATATGAAAAATGCCAACTTGGATTAGAAAGTGTTATTAGAAAACAATGATATGTGAATGATTAGAAAATGTCAACTTGACAAATCTAGTACAAATAAGACTATCTTGGTAAAATCTAACAATACTATCACCAATGTTAACACAAACCAATGTTAACACCGAGAGTGTGCAAGATAATTTTCAACCAAAAAGAACCAATGCAAAAAATAACTCTTTACTTTCTAAAAGAAATAAGTTTTTTAAAACATCTTCATGCTCTTATTGCTCTTATTGTAATACAAAGGGTCATACTCAAAATGCTTGCTATATGAGAAATATTTGTGCTGCTAGTGGAAATTATATAAGGTTAAATAAAGGAACTAACTCACAAGGATTCAAAGGACATTGGGTACCTGACAAATTTTAATTTATTTTGTAGTGATGCTTAAAATACACCACCAACACGTGGTATTTGGATGATGGATGCTCCAAACACATGATGGGAGACAGAGCAAAGTTTTCATCTCTAACTTTAAAATCAAAGTGACTGGTCACTTGTGGAGATATTAACAAAGGGAAGATTATTGTTATTGGAAGAATAGATACACCACCCTTTATCACTATTGATATTGTTCTCTATGTGAATGGTTAAAATAATAAACTTTTAAGCATAATCCATTTATGTGATAAAGATCTCAAAATAAATTTTAAAAAAGATACATGAGAGAGACAGGTCCAATTTATCATTGATTTGGTTGAGCTGAAAATTAGAGAAGAGAGGGAGATGGACATGAGATGCATAACCTTTTATAGTTAATGTTGTGTCAAAATTAGGGATGCCAATTTGAATACGTTAACAGGGACTTTTTGGGAATTATTTGTTCGAAGCTCCAAAGTCAAACATTTTTACTTGTGGATATGGGGATTAAGGGAAACATTTCCCTTATAACACTTTGTGACGAGGATTGAGAAAGTACCCTATGTGAGTGAAACTTGGTCCCTTAAGTGTTTTGAGTGATGTCAAAAATACGAGAGTGTTGAATTTCCTTGGTTGGTTATTATCTCCGAGTTTAGTGTTGTATCCTGATAATTTAGAAGTTATAGAGTCTTTTGGAATCATTAAAAGTCACTTCAAAATTGAGTCGTCGTTAAAAATATGTTTTTGCTTGAATTTTCGTTGCATGTTTTGACACGTCCGCTTTTCAGGTCGACACATGCAACTCAATTTTAAATCTTGTAGCTTTTGTAAGTCACAGGTGGACTCATCTAACCGTTCAAGTCGATACATACTGAAGCATGCCTTAAATTATAGAAAACTTTATTTTATGTGTCGATACATAAGTTTTTCAGGTCGACACATTTACTATCGTTTTAAAGCCTGTAGCCTTTGTCTTGGTCGGGTCGACTCATACTTTTGCATAGGTCGACACATACAGTTTAAATATAAAGTATGTGTCGACACATACGATGCATAGATCGGCTCATACTAATAGTTTCATCAATTTCTTTTATTCCTTTTAATTCTAAACTTACTCATTTTGTCCAAAAAGTCCCAAAACTATAAATACTCTTTCATGCATCATTCATAACTTAGTGAAACCATAAAATTAGCCTATTTCTCTCTTCATCTTCAACCTCTAATCTATGCATACACACTAACATTACATTGTAGCGATGTTCTGTTGGGGTGTCATATAGACGAGATTGATAGTGTCCAATTTTGTATTGGGTTAAAATTTATAGGGATTTTCATCCAGGAAAAACATCAGTTTTGTTCTCCAAGATCATTGGTTGATTTGGGGGTTTTCGTCACTACTACGGAAAACCCATTTAACAATGGTTGGGAAATACATATAATCACGCGGGTTCAGGCGTTGTTGTGTAGAGTATGGTTGTATATGTGGCACTTACAATCACGGGTCCAGGAACCATTATGGTAAAATGTCTATCACAATGGTTGACGTAAACAATCATTGTAATAATTATAGTGGCATGGGTTCGACACCCAGCTACAACCAAAATTAAAGAGCATAAAAATAGCATTTCATCATGGTTAAATGTTCCAACCGTTGTGGTATATGTAAGAGTTTATTATAAAATATAGGATTGCTAGTTTTTCCCTGCCCATATACAACCATTCAAATAGAATTTTGATACAATAATAAGAAAAATTAAGTTATTCTTGAAAAATAACTTAAACGATCCAATATTTTTCGAATTTCAAGCATCATGTAAATCATGATTTCCTCTTTTAGC